TAGTGTTTTTTTGGTAAAGTTGATCTGGTTAGTATAAATTCCTTTAATTTTGTTATCTGCAAATGTCCTCATATCTGTGTCACGTTTGAGGGACAGCTTTGCTGGGTATATAAGTCTAGGTTGGCAATTTTTTTTCTTTCAGAGTTTTGTATACACCACAACCAAATTTCCAAAGAACAGGGTTTGGGCTTGGGGTGGATAAGGGTGGGAGCTGGCTACACCTCTGGTCACCAAGGAAGTACGGAGAAAAAGAAGGAATCACAACTTTCCCCTCACCTGTGAGACTCTGCTCTGCAAGGATACCTTCTGTCACGAAAGCTGAGCACAAAAGTTCAAAAATGTTGTGCTGTGTAAACCTTGAGGCCGACTGTTCACCAGTCAGTGTCCCCTGCTCACTGTCCCTGCTCAGCTTCTCCCAGCAAGCAGTGAATCTACTTCTCTAACCTTTCCTCTGAAGTTCAGGGTGCCAAGATTCTCATCTGTGTCTGTTTCATTTGGTCTCTCATATCTTTGCTGTAGAGGGTCCGTGTAGTGTGTCTGCCTAGTCCGCCATCTTATTGGAAGTCTCCTATGGGCAAAATATTGAATGATGCAGGAAGCATCAGGACAACAAGGGAGGAATACACAGAGTCACTGGACCAAAAGGAGTTTTTGGTCCATTCTACTATTTCAGGAGGTAGCATATGATCAAGAACCAATGATGGTACTGAAGGAAGAAGTCCAAGCTACACTAAAGTCCTTGCTGGAAAACAAGGCTACAAGAATTGAAAAAATACCAATGGAAAGTTTCAGCAAGTTGATGCGGCACAAAGACAAAGCTATCTATCTGGCCAACCTATTACAGAAGAGCCAAATTTGTGCTCATTCCAAAGAAAGATGACTCAACAGAATGTGAAAAATATCTAACAACATAATTAATATCACACACATAAAAAATTTTGAAGACAATTTAAAAACGGTTGCAGCAGTACATCCACAGGGAGCTGCCAGAAATTCAAGCAGGATTCAGAAAGGGATGCACATTGAAGAAGAGATTCATTGCTGATGTCAGATGGATCCTGGCTGAAAACAGAGAACACCAGAAAGATGTTTATTTGTGTTTCACTGACTATGTAAAGGCATTCAGCACTGTGGATCATAACACACTGTGGCTAACACTGACAAAAATGGGAATTACAGGACACTTCATAGTACGCATACAGAACCTGCAGGTAGGACAAAGGCAGTCCCTTGAACAGAACAAGGAGACATCAGGACAGGTATTTGACAGGGTGGTATCCTTTCACCATACTTATTCAATCTCTACACTGAGCAAATAATCCTAAAAAGCTGGACTATATGAAGAAAAACCCAGCATCGGGATTGAAGGCAGGTTCATTAATAACCTTCGGTAAGCAGAGGGCACAACCTTGCTTACTGAAAGTGAAGAGAATTTGCAGCATCTGCTGAAGATCAAAGATCACAGCCTTTGTTATGCACTATAACTCAATGTAAAGAAAACAAAAATCCTCACATCTGGACCAATAAACAGCATCATAATAAACAGAGAAAAAATTGAAGTTGTTCAGAATTTCATTTTATTTGGGTCCACAATCAATGCTCATAAAAGCAGCAATCAGGAAATTGAACCACATTTTGCATTAGGCAGATCTACTGCAAAAGTCCTCTTTAAAATGTTCAAGAGCAAAGGTGTCATTCTGCGGACTAAAGTGAGCCTGACCCAAGCCATGGTATTTTTAACAGCCTCATAAACATGTAAAAGCTGGACTATGAATAAAAAAGACTAGAGAACTGATGTCTTTGAATAATGGTGATGGCAAAGAACATTGAAATTACCATGGATTGAGAGGAAAACAAATCTGTTTCGGAAGGAGTACAGCTAGGGTGCTTCGTTAGAATTGAAGATGGTTTCCAGTACCTTGGACATGTTTTCAGGAGAGACCAGTCTCTAGATGACATCATGCTTGCTAAAGTGAAGGGTCAGTGAAAAAGAGGAAGACCCCCAATGAGATGGATTGGCACGGTGGCTACAACAGTGGGCTCAAACACAACAGCTGTGAGGCTGGCACTGGACTGTGCAGTGTTATGTTCTGTGGTGCACATGGTCACCTTGAGTCACAACCTACTCAGTGACATCGAACTAACATGCAAAGCAGTCTCCTAGATAAAATAGGTCCCCTCCCAAGTGTGCAGAGGAGAGTGAGGTATTTTAAATGGATGGAATGGAGTATGTGATTGTAAACAAACTATACCAACTGTGCAGAGGAGAGGGGGTATTTTAAATGGATGGAATGGAGTATGGGATTGTCAACAAACTATAACAAGTGTGCAGATGAGAGGGAGGTATTTTAAACGGATGGAATGGAGTATGGGATTGTCAACAAACTATAATAAGTATGCAGATGAGAGGGAGGTATTTTAAATGGATGGAATGGAGGATGTCATTGTTAACAAACTATAACTAGCAATAGAGAGATTTGTTGTTGTTGTTAAGTGCCGCTGAGGTAGTTCCAACTGATAACGACCCTATATAGGGTTTCCCAGGAGCAGCTGACGGGTTTGAACTGCCAACCTGTGGTTCATATGGTCCACACCAGGGGTCTAGAGAGCTTTGAGGTGGTAGCAATGTATTCTTTCTGAGCAGTCATGAGAGATGACTTGTGAGCTACTTAGGCATGTGTAGGGTTTAACCAGGCAGTTAGAAGAGGGAATTGGTGTTATTGAGAAGTAGAACAAGGCTTGATGGAGTATTTAGGGAAATGTAAGTGTCAAATGTGTTTGACATATAGTAGGTATAGGATGGGAAATGTGGCTAGAAAAGCCTGCCTACAACATTTATAGCTTACTCTTTAGGCCTGCTGTTGATAAGTGCTGTCAAGTTAATTCTGACTCATAACAACCCTGTAAAGGGTTTCTGATGAGCAGCTGGTGGGTTTGAACTGCTGATCTTGTGCTCCCCAATCCAGTGCTGATCCTACAGCATCACACCAGGAGTCCTGTTTAGGCCTGAGGAGGGCATTTAAACAGATCTGTGTTTTAGAGGATCAATATGGAAAACAGCCAGAAGGAGAAGAGTGCATAGGAAAAAAGACCTCCATGAAGCCAGAGTTAATGAGGACTTATCACTCCCCTAATATTCAGGATGCTCCTCCCTGCTTTGTGCAGTCTGCGGTAAGAAGAGTACAGAAATGAACTAGACAGACAAGGACCCTGCTACCTTCATGAGTTTTATATTCTACTGAAAAGAGGCAAACAATAAATGAAACTGAGGTCAGTACAAAAACGTAAATAAAATCAGGGTGCTGTGAAAGAGAGTGGACCGACTATATGGCACTTACAGCATGAAAAACTGTGGCAAGTAGAAGTGTTTTTTAGAAGGGGCAGGCATGGAGATCAAAGATCTGAGAAAAACCTGAAACTATATTTAAATATTTGAGATATATATATATCCATTTTTCTGAAAGACTCTCAAGGATTGTAGGATCCCTCTACTGTCCATTAGATGTTGAATGAAACATTTTGGAGGTTGAATCTAGATTTCAGTGTTGACCCTTATAGAATTCCAAAGTATCTGATACCAGCAAATTATAAAAATTTCTTCTTCAAATGTCAATTCTTTATTATAAAGGATAGAACTGACAAACTTTATTATTCACTTACGTACACATTTGTCTCTTTATCAAGCTGTTGTGGGAGAAGGGATATTGTACATGTTGCTGCCGTGTGCTGTCACGTTTCCATGCATAGGGACCCTGTGCATCAACAGAACGAAGCCCTACCTTTCTCTATCCTCACAATTGTTATATTTGAGCCTATTGTTGCTGTCACTGTGTCAATCAAACTTGTTTGGGGTCTTTTTTGCTGACTCTTCACTTTACTAAGCATGATGTCTTTCTCTAGAGGCTGGTCCCTCCTGACAACATGTCCAAAATATGAGAGAAAAAGTTTTACCAGTCTCGATTCTAAGGAGCATTGGTTTGTTCTTCTGTCTGTCCATGGTACCTTTAATATTCTCCTCCAATACCATAACCCAAATGCATCAATTCTTCTATGGTCTTCCTTACTCACTATCCAACTGTCACATGTATATGACGCTACTGAAAATACCATGGCTAGGGTCAGATGCACCTTAGTCATCAAAGTAATGTCTTTGCTCTTGAACACTTTAATGAGGTTTTTTTTGCAGTAGATTTGTCTAATGCAATACATCATTTGATATCTTGACTGCTGTCTTCATGAGCACTGGTCATGATCTAAGAAAAATGAAGTCTTCGACAACTTCAATCTTTTCTCTGTTTATCATGATGCTATTAATTGGTCCAGTTGTGATGATTTTCATTTTCCTTACATTGATGTTGCAATCCACACTGAAGGATGTAATCTTTGATCTTCATCAGTAAGTGTTTCAAGCCCTCTTCACTTCTAGCAAGTAAGGTTATGCCATCTTCATATCTCAGGAAGCATTAAAAGAAGATTGAAGTAATATACAGAGTCACTGTACCCAAAGGAATCGGCCAATGTTCAACCATTCCAAGAGGCACCATATGACCGAAAACCAATGGTATTAAAGGAAGAATTCTAAGCTTCACTGAAGCACTGGCAAAAACCAAGGATTCAGAAATTGATGGAATACAAATTGAGATGTTCCAACAATTGATGCAGTACTGGAAGCGCTCACTAGTCTATGCCAAGAAAGGCAGCTACCTGGCCATTCTATTGAAAAGACCCATGTTTGTGCCAATTCCAAAAAGAGATGACCCAACAGAATGCAAAAACCATTGATCAATATCATTAATACCACAAGCAAGTAAAATTTGGTTGAAGATCATTTTTAAATGATTGCAGCAATGCATAGACAGGGAGGAACCAGAAATTCAAGCCGGATTCAGAAGAGGATGTAGATGGATCTTGGCTGAAAGCAGAGAATACTAGAGATGGTTACTTTTGCTTTAATGAATATTTAATGTGTGGATCATACCAAACTATGGATAACATTGAGAAGAATGTGAATTCCAAAACAATTTTGCTCATGTGAAATCTGTACACTGTCCAAGAGGCAGTTGTTCAAACAGAACAAGGGGACACTGAATGGTTAAAAATCAAGGAAGTGTGCATCAGGGCTGTATTCTTTCACTATACTTATTCAATCTGTATGGAATCCTGGTTGGCACTATAGAATAAGCAACAGACTGCTAACAACAAGGTTGGTAGTTCAAATACACCAGTTGCTCCTCAGAAACCCTATACAGGATCACTATGAGTTGAAGTCAATTCAAAGTCATTTAACAACAATGTGCTGAGCAGTTAATTGGACAAACTGGATTATACGAAGAACATGACATCAGGATTAGATTGCACATGTATGGATACAAATATACAAGACAGCTTCAAAAAGATCATGGAAAAATTCCATTATCTTTTTTTTTTAAATCTATTATTGTGAATTATGTGATAGTTTACATGAGAGAACATTAGCTTTACATTCATCCTATTGTATATTGTATATTGTTTTGTTGCCATAGTTACAATCCCTTCCATGCATCATCAAACAAGCAAAGGGTATACCCGGCAAACCTGCCCCTCAGTCATCGGCACACAGCCCCTTTCCATCTCTGGGTCTACTGTCCCCAGCTGCTCCATCTCTCCACATCATCATCTCTGCCTCCACCTCTGGAGTCACTGTTTCTCTGGGTAGGGTCCCGCACTCCACTCTTCTCCCTTGGTGGTCCCAGGACCCTCCTCTCCTGGAGTGCAAAGTCAACCACTCCCCTCCTTTTGCTACAAAACATCTACCTTTACATTTCCAACCCTCACAGTCAGTCCCGATAGCAATCATTCACTATTGTACCACAAGGGTCCTATTCCCAACTCCTTTCATTAGACCCGCCCAGACAGATTGGATACTACTCACTGGAGATTCCACCTTCCTTTGTGCCCTCTGGATCAAGGCTCCCTCCCTCTTGAAAGCTGTAAGTCAGTTACTTGATGTCTTTGTAGCCCCCCACCCCCATTTTGGGTAGCCAATGTCCAAGTTGCCCATCCCTCTCCCTGAATGGGGGTAGGAATGATCCTCCCCGTAAAGATTTGTTCCCTCTTTTAAGATACTGTGTCCATAGGTGTAGGTCAAATTGTATCAGATTACTCTTTTTTTCCTCTTTCTTCTTCTAGTTGAGTTCTGATCATCCAGTCATTAAAGCCAAGTCAAGTGGGTATTATCTGCAAGTGTGGGTGTTATTGTGCATATGCCCTCTCTTCTTATCAGCTGGATGCTTCATACTCCACTCTAGTCCTCTGTGGCTATGTCACTGACTCTGGGCGGAGGAGTCCCAAGCTCTTGCCACATTGCTGGCCAACCAGGTCTCTACCCAGGTTCACAGGAGTCTATTGAACGTTGTAAGGCTTAGCTCACAGCTTCATTGCTGTTTTTCCCTCACTTCCCCTTATCGGTGACCGACGTGGTCAACAGTTAGAGCGCATGTCTGCTCGTGTATTCCCCTTGAGTCTTAGTCTTAGAAGGGGCTTTGCCCTGAGGGGACCCGACCACTTGCCTTGATGTCTCCTTGGCGAGCATCTTGCTTGTTCTTGTAGTAGTCAGTCAGACTGCTGTTAATTGTTTTGTATTTTTACTGTAGATCTTTCTTTCAAAAAGTATCTTCTGTTCCTCTAGCCTCTCCAGGCTGGTCAGCTTGTCCTTTCAAGTGGAAAATTTCCACTGGGGTTCAGGATTCTACCTATGGTCTTATGCAATGCAGGGGCTCCACAGGAAGCCTCCTTCACTGGGCAAGTTGTAGCCCCATTTTAGGTATTCCAATCAGTTATAGGCTGAAGACAGACTTACAAGCTTTCTATGGTGATAGTTTCTGATAGTTCTAGCTATTCATTTCTCTCCCCCTCAAGCATCTATTTTAGAATGATATGCAAGGGAAACCAAGATTCAAAAGACAGCCAAGCATACAACATTATTTCCCCCCCTTTTACCCATTCAAACCATGCCTCAATCCCTGTATCCCAGAACCCTGTTGTTCCAAGGTTGTACATACATCATTATTTACCTCGGTCCCACTTAGCCCATTCAAACCTGCCTAATTGTTCTCCCATCCATCTTGTTCTTCCATTCCCCTCCCCCTTCTAGTGTATTGACTCCCTCCCCAGCACCCAAACTATCCTATGTCTATTCCTTGCCCTGTGCTCCACCTTGCCATCCCTCCCCTTACTCCACCCCCACCTCCCAGCAACCAGCAAAGAATCCACCCCCCTTTTAATATGGGTTCTTTTTCTTAGTCTTTTACAATAGTGGTCCTATGCAGTATTTCTATTTTTGTGACTGACTAATTTTACTCAACATGATGTCCTCAAGGTTCATCCATATTATGCGGTGGCTTGCAGCTTCTTTGTTATTCTTCAAGGTAGCATAATACTCCACTGTGTTTTTATCCATTCTTTAACTGATGGGCACTTAGGCTGTCTCCATCTTTTTGCTGTTGTAAATAGTGCTACTATGAACATGGTGTGCATATGTCTACTCGTGTTATGGCTCATATTTCTTGTGGGTAAATACCAAGTAGAGGAATTGCTGGATCATAAGGTAATTCTATTTCCAACCTTCTGAGGAAGTGCCATATTGCTTTCCAGAGTGGTTGGGCCATTTTGCAATCCCACCAGCAATGCAGGAACGTCCCAGTTTCTCTGCATCCTCATCAACATTAACTGTCCTCTACTTTTTTTTTTTTTAATCTTTGCTGTTATTACTTGTGTGAGATGATACCTCATTGTTATTTTGATTTGCATCTCTCTGATGGCTAGTGATCATGAACATTTCTTATGTTTGTTGGCTGCCCATATGTCTTCCTTGATGAAGTGTCTGTTCATGTCCTGTGCTCATTTTTTAATTGGGTGATTTATTTTTTTCTTGTAGAGGTGTTGTAGTTTCCTATATATTTTAGAAATTAGTACCTGTCTGATGTGTCATTAAAAAATATTTTTCCCCATTCTGTGGGTTCCCTTTTTACTCTTCTGGTGAAGTCTTTTGATACACATAAGATTTTAATTTTTAGAATGTCCCAATCATCTGTCTACTTTTGCTTGTGTAGTTTTCAAAATGTTTGGTAGTCTGTGTATGCTTTGAATTAGTGCCCTCACATTTGTCCCTATGTTTTCAATGATGACCTTCA